GTTCAAATACGTCTTGTGTATGCGTGTGTGTACATATGTACGTTTGTGTCTGTGCATCTGCACGTGTTTGTTGCACATCAAACTACATCGCCTGTCTTGCGCAGGTGGGGCCTTCAACTCCTCGGTTTGTGTTTGGCCTTCCAGCTTGGGTGGTACAACGCAATATTGCTGTGAGGGTTACATGCAGACGGTTGCGTCTTTATCCATCCCATTCCTCCTCATTCATCTGCCTGGGGTTTCTGAGAAAGAGGAAAAAGTAGGAAAATGGGACGAAGAACCAAGGAAGTGAACGCATTAAGAGGTGAAAAAGTTTTTGTTGGGTTAATCCCACGGTTTTTATGGTCGATGACTTTTGCATGAGAAAAGTGAGCCTCGGTACTTGCGTCTGTGCGTGTGGAGATGGCTAGAAGTGTCGCGAGCCGCCGTGTGGGGTGGCCTCGCTGAAGACACCTTGTGTTATGGGCGTATATATTTGCTTGCTTTTATTTCTTGTTTATTTCCATCCAGTGAGGTTCTATTACTTTTGCTTTGGTATCTTTCATACATTGTTTCATCTCCTTTCTTCTCTTCCTTGGATTTCGTCTGTTCCCCTCCCTCCTTTTTTTTTGTCTATTTTGTTGCTGGGATTGTTTGTAGATATGGGTTTTGTGTCTATTTCTGCTTCACGAACCGAGAGAAGTGCATATGAGAATGCGTACGTTATTCCTGGGGTTTGGTTGGTTTTGTTTTTGGGTTGCATATTGTACGTGATGAACAACAAAAAGGGCGAAAAAAAAAAGACATATGCCTTTTATATTTGCACGGGATCATGCGAATATACACATGTATCTGTATGTGTAAGGTAGAGCCAAGTGCATTCATGTGGTTTATCCAAGTGTCTTTTGCTCCCACCCTTTATGTGCATATGCGATGTGAGTTGTGTTAATGTTTCTGGGCATCTCCAAATACACCACACCTTCCTGGTTCCTGAGGTGGTGGTGCTGGCGCTTTGTGTTGTTGCACCACCCCTCGCTCACCCACTTACTGCTGCTCACATTCGTTCTGCCACCATTCACCGTCTTCATTTAAAATAATAATAATAATTTTATGTACGTGCACGTGTGTGCCCCGGCATGTCGAGGGTGTAGTTATTACATAGCGACGGAAAAGCAATGATGTGGTTGACTCGCGTTTTGGCGTTGCCGCGTGCCGCAAGTGTGGGTGGGAAGCGTTTCTTCAGTACAGGAAGCGTTGTTCTGGCGCCAAAACGTGCGGTGGTGGGGAGACGTGGAAAAGACGCTGTTGCGACCCACCGAAAAACGTTGTCGTTACAGACAAAGCCAGCGACGGACACTGCACATTCCAGGACCTTCGCCTCGCTCAGTGGCAGAGGCAACGAAGGTGAGATCGATAAAAGCGGGAAGAAAAGTTTGACAGGGGCAAATTCGGCAATGAAGAACGGCAGCGACGTTGTCGACGTTGAAGATGAGGAGAGGCGTCTTGCGGAGGGAGACACACGGCTTGCGATGCGGTTGCTGATGCAGCACCACTTTCTTTACCAGCACAATATGCGGCGGCCAGAGGAGCGGAGGCTGGAGGAAGAGCGGGAGATGCTGCGAGAGAAGCACCGCGCACGCATGGAGCGCATTGAAGAAAAGACAAGAAATGCCATGGAACTTGGCCAGGACGTTTCCGTGGACGGAATTTTGCCGCTTTATGGAAGAGGCACGTCGACAGCCGCATCCACTACTTCCATGTCAGCAGCCGCAGCCACTACCTCCAAGTCAGCAGCCTCATGGATGCGTCTAAATCCAGTGGAGGCGGAGGCTGGCGACCGCGACGTAGATGGTGACAACTACAGTACAACGGGTTCATTGCTTACAAAACCTGACATATCAGCCTACGACACTGAGCACGATCACCGCATTCGCAGCGCGGAAGTGCTGGACGAGGAGCAGAGACGCCGAAGAGAGGACCTAAGGAGCGGTGATGCGACGAGGAAACTCTGGCCACAGGAGGAACTTGAGACGGGTGGAGGTTTGACACCGCAGCGAGTGGTGCAGAGCCAGATACTGGAGGACGAAGACCAGGACTTTGCTGTGGAGGCGTATTCCAGTGACTACGATGAATGAGTGTAGCCACGCACATACACATATATGGGTTTACCTGTTCCGTGGTGGTACCTGCATTTTATTCTTACGCATTCTTCTTTTTCTTCTTGTATTGTCACAGCCACTGCATCTTTTTTGTCTTTTTTTGTCTATTCCTCACGTCTTTAACACATTTTATTTCCCCGTTTTTTTTATTTTTTTGGAGGTTGGATAGTTGTATTTTATTTGTTATTCATCCCCGGTGATGCTGCTTCTGCGCTAGAGGAATATTATTCCTTTCTCTCTCTCTTCATTGTATATATGTGTTTCGCACGTGCAACCACCAGCACGTAGGATAAAAGGTGGCGCCGAGAGGGAAGTGTACAGGTGGTGGAAAGAGGAAGATTTGAAACTACACATACACAAAAGAGGGAGGGAGAGAGGAGGAAGCGTTAGTCATTATGTTGCAGCGTTGCGCATTTCAGACAATTGCCAGTCCCGCACTGACGCAGCGTGAAGTGGAGTTCACAAAGTCTGCGTGGCTTGCCGGGCTGCGGCCCGATCAGCGGGGGGCACAGCAGCTGCGGGAGGTAAAGGTTGAGTTTCCACTTCTTTCCAGAGATGTGGCGTGTGTGCGTTGCGGTGGCACCATTGTCACCGCCGCCATTGCATGCGAGCTCGTGGAGCCCTCCCCGTACAGGCCAAAGCAGGGGATGCTCGAGTTCTCCGTGCGGCAGCCATACACCGAACGTGATAGCGGCGCAAAGTCGAGAGAATTGAAGACATTAACTGCCTTTTTAGAGAGACTCATTAAAACAGGTGGGGTTGTTGACACTGAGAGCCTCTGCATGTTACCCGGCCGGCGTGTGTGGAGCGTCAGCGTGGACATCACTGTGCTGAACGATGAGGGGAACGTCACTGACGTTGTGGTGTGGGCTACTGTGGCAGTTCTGCTTCATTACCGACGACCGGAGCTCACAATTCGAGGAAACTCGGTTATTGTGCACCCACCACACGAGCGAGAGCCCGTGCCTCTTTCCGTTCACCACGTTCCACTCCCCTTCAGCTTTGTTGTCACCATGGATCCCAGTGATCGCAACAGATTGTCACGGCAACACAAAGACAATAAAGAGTTGCTTGAAGTAGTTGTGGATCCTACCGTTGCGGAGGCGACTGCGGCGGCCTCCTCTGTTGTAGTTGCAGTCAATGCAGAAGGACAAGTGTGTTCTGTGTCCAAGTCGGAGGGCTGCTGCATTCATCTTAACGAGCTTAACTACTGCATGGAGACAGCTGCCTTGCTTGCGCCACGCGTCTTGTCGTTGATACGGGAGGCTATGGCGGCACACGATGTGAGGCGGCAAGAAGCCCTTCAAGGACAGTTTTTATGGGTACAGAAGCGCAGCGGTGTTGGCAGAGATGTGGCAGTGCCGGAGACCACAAAGAAGGCGAGGGTTGAGACTTGAGCGGTGGGAGGTGACTGCAATGAGTTAGGTGATAGTGAGAAAAAGGAAACTACGAGAGTGTTTGAACTGATTAAGAAGGCGGAAAGAGAAAAAAAAATATGGATGGGAAGTTAAACGTATGTGAGCGTGGGGAAAGGGCACACTTACACTCCCTTGGGGTCCTCCCTACTGGTGCGACGGCCGCATTTTTGTTCTCCCTACTCTTTGAGACGCTCTTGCTCTATTACTATTGTGTTTTTTCCACTTTTTTTTTCTGCTTTTGTTTCAATTTTTGTTGTATTGGTGATTCCCGCTGTGACAGTGCTTACCAATACTTTTTTTTGTGTGTGTGTGTGTTTGTTCTTGTGCCATTTATTCCAGTTTTGTTTGGTTACAGAGCCATGGATGCCAGCCATATTCAGGATGAGGAGTTGGGGACCTTGGAGGTGCTGTGGTCGCCCGATTTGGACGCACGTTGGCGCCTGCTGCGGCGCCATATAACACCTTTTGAGAAGGACCGTATGGCGTACCACTCTGCCAAGTATCAAAAGCCTGTTTTTGTACTCATGAATCCCGTCATCTGGCGTCGGCTGGTCGAAAAGCAAGGCGCGTATCGTGCTGTGGATCTCATGCTGATGTTGGGCTTTGCACCCGCCCCTGAAGGGGCGGCGAGCCTGCTGGAATGGGTCGAAAGTGAGGCTGCGGGGACGACCTGCAGCACTGCTGGCGCGGCCACAGCCCCAGCAGCGTCATCAGCATCGTCAACGGTCTCAGCTGGTGGTGGGACTTTTTTTGGGCGGCGATCACTTGCCGTGCCGCCAGGCGTGGGGGAGGAGTCGCGCACAAGCGGCGGTGTTCGTTTCTGGGTGCTGAACCACGAAGACTCACGCCCGTACACCTCCGGTTCTCCAGTGAGCCAATTTGCCTCCCCACGCCCCACAACATCAGGTATACACGCCAACAGTCCCACACAGTCGACAACAGTTGTACAAATTTCATCGCCGATCGCTGCACCTGCTTCTCCGCATGCCTCTTTTGCTCCTGGGCCTTGTGCCGAAGCGGACGGCGCTGCCGCCCGCATCCGCGACCTTGAGGCGGAGGTGAAAGACCTGACACGGCAGATACGCCTGTTGAAGTCACGAGAATCAGATCGGGAAGGAAGTGTCATGTCAGATGTAGGTTCACAGAACGAGACGCCACAACCACACATCATCGTCTGCCCGGAGCGTCCGTTTATTGCTTCCACGAACTGTCATTCACTCGTCTGTCTACCTGTAAATTATCTTGATCCCGATTGTGCACCTTATGTGGTGTCACTTGGCGCCTCCACAGGGCGAACACTGTTAGCTTGCACCATTGTAGAGCACCGCTACGTTATCTTTCTCGCCCCACCGCACCGCCGTGGTTCACTGGCCGTTGTTTTGCTTTGTACGAGGGACGGGACGCTGCGGCCGTACACGCGGGCAGTGTGGTTGGAGTACAGGGCACAAGACCCACCCAACACCCTCACTCACCACGCGGTCAACCAGCTGCTGCAAGAAATACCATTGCCTTCCTCTGCCACTGTTGTTGAGCCAAATCCAAGTGAGGTGGAACAAACGAAGAGTGAAAGCGCTTTTGAAGATGACAACACGTTCTGTGATACAGATACCGCCGTTAGCACTTCTGATCAGGGGCTTGAGTTGGAGCCACAGCTACCGCTTACAAAGGAGATGCTACAACTTATTCCCAACGGCGTTATTACAGGACAGCGTGTATCACGCACGGAGGCGACGGGTCAAATTCATCCAAATGGCACAACATTGAGTGTGGCTGAAAGCGAAAGTTCGTTGGCCGGAGCCGAACGTGAAGGGAGGACAACAACAAGAAGACTGTGGAACGAAAACGACGAGATGAAACCTGGCAGTGTCTCTATGAGCACGGGTCGCCCGACCAGCTATCAACGCGGTCAGCAGAGTGGCTTCTCAGACGAGGAAACAACGCAGCTTGCGTTTAACTGTATGACAAGCTGCACCGAACTCAGTAGTTCCACTGCGACGTCGGTTATTAGTGTTGAGAGTGCGACACCCAACAACGGATTGGGTTTCGCCGGCATTATGGCGTCGCGTGGCTGGGTGCGCCGGTATCTGCACGCATCACCGCTGAGCAGTCAATGCTTTGGCGGGCAAACGTGTCTCGGTTCCCTGTCAGCTACGGTGACTGTATTAGACGAGCAGGTGCAATGCGCTGAACCTCAGCCATCGTGGCCAAGACGAGGGTCCGTGGCCTCTCAATAGCAGTGACGTGTTTGTTTGATATGTAGTCATGCATTTTATTTGCTGTTTCATCCGTTTTTTTTTGTTTTTTATACTTTTTTTAAACCATCGAATTTGTGTCTCGCTTTCTTTCCTTTTTTTTCTTTTTCTCTGCTTCATGGTGCTGCATTACTGTGTCTCTTCTCTTGCCTCACACCAAAGCATACGTATACGCGTTTGTTGTTTAGTAAAGCACTCAGACACACTCACCTCTTTCCGACTTCAGTGGGGAATACGCTCACTACTCACACACCTTGTTTTTGAGTGTACCACGCTCGGCCGCACATTTCTTTTCAGACAAGAGCGGGGAGCAGCAGCAACAATAAGGGCAAAAAGGGCTGCGGAGGTTGGTGGTTTGTGTGTGTGTGTGTGTCCCTCTATGTAACGGGGATGTTGACAACGCGGCAGCTGGTTCCCCCTTCTGTGGTACATCTCGCATGTCCTCTCCGTCTTGAAGATGGAAGTACTGTTCTTCTCACTGCCACGGCCTCTTTCCTGCATGTACGGCTGCCCGTTTGGAAGTTTGATAGTAGTGGAAACGAGACCTGCGTCTTTGTTCCCACGATGGAGGAGATGCACATTGGAGGCGTCGCAGTTGCTCTCGTGGCCTGCGCGCATCAGTGCTTTGTGGTCCTTACACAGGACTGTGATATCTTAGTGGCGCGATACCAGGCAAACTTGCCTGCTCCGCCTCAATCATGGCTTTGCAATGATGTACTACACCATAGCAACGCGTGGATTATTCTGTATCGTGGTAGGCTGTCTGCAGGCCAAACAGGCGGGTTTTCAATGCTGGGTCTACGCTCGCTATTCGCTCCTGGTGAGGATGGGACGACAGTGCAGTGTAGCGTCCTGCGCGGCGTGCGACACACATTAATCATTGATATTCCCAATGATGCATCTGATGCATTTTTTCGTGAGAAGTGGGTCTTGAGCGTTCCTCAAAGTGTAGGACCGTTTTCCTATAGTGTCGCCCCATTTAAACGTGATGTCATGGAGCAATCCGATGAGGAACTGCTATTACACTGTACGGTTGCAGAGTTGGCGAAACGGAAATGTTTGCAGAAGCCCCCACCCATTGAACAGCGGTATGGTTTTCCACCTGTCTCTGTGACACTGCTTTCCCGCACCTCTGATGATCATATCTTGTCCATGGCTTTGATGCCAGCAACTCCACCCCAGGGACCTGAAAGCTTCGTCTTTGTTTTTCCCCATCGGTCGTCCCTGAGTGTCTTTGGGTCTCTTTCGCGTTCTTCGCGTGGAAGGCTGTTGGAAAATCTGACAGTAAGCGGTTCCCCGTATTTGGTATTAACTCTTCCTGATCGTATATTGGTTCTCTCACTTGTGGGGTGTATGCATGTATTGTTCGTTTTTGGCGTTAATGCCACATCACTGGGAACAGTTATCAATATGGTAGGCAATCACAGGACAATGCGTGTTGCACGAAGCTTGAACCACCCATGTGCTGCTGTGGTGCAGCAGGGCGAGGCGGGTGAGGTGCTTTGGATGCTGCTGGAAAATGGTCTTTTGGCAAGCCTTTCCATTGAGGTCTTACGGTCATGCAATGATGTCCCAAATATATATGATGCACCCAACATTCACTCCGGGGATTGTGAGGATGGCGAGTGGCCCATTGCACATATTAGTGGATTGCCGCACGGTTTCCGTGCTATATCAATTGTGCCCTTTGAGCGTGGTTGTACAACACGGTTTCAGCCGCATCCAGTGACGGAGCGTTACGTTCTGCTGGGTGACGGCGTCTCTGATACGTACCTCGTTGATCTTATTGAACGACGCACCGTGGGCGGTTTGCTTTCCCATGGTGCCATGACATCAGTCTGCACTGGCCCTGGCATGGACCTTGTCGTGACATATTCGAAGGGCCTGCTGCGGCGGCTGTCGTCTGGTGTGGCATCCCCAGTGCGAGTCCACGCAGCATTTGCTGGCGTTCATCAGATGTACGCACTGTCCCACATGAGCGTGTCGCAGCCATCAAATTTGACGTTTCATTTTCTGGTGACCACCGCTGTTCGCACGGCTATCTTGCGAGGGGCGGCGGGACACATAGAGGAGTTGCAGGATGTGGAGGGGTTTCTGTTGGATGAGCCGACTCTTGCGGTGCATTCGGCACCCCCAGAAGGCAAAGCTATGTCGGCGGCGTCCTCGCCATCATTATTGTTTGCACAGTGTACGCCTACGCGCCTCAATCTTTCGGGGACACGCAAGTTTTTGGGTGAAATTCTGCCCGGAGTGGATCGCGCATCGCATGCATGTTTTGCTGGGGACGAATTTCTTGCTGTTGCCGATTCACAACGTGTCTCAATTCTTTCCATTGCGTGTGGGAGCACTCCACGTGTCATCGCGCAGAGGCATTTGACGGGTGATGTGTCACATTTGGTCGCGTGGCGCATGCCGGACTCTTGCGGGTGGCGCATCGCATCTTGTTTGTGGTCACACGAGATTCTTGTATGGATTTTGGGTGAAGCTGGCACGAAATACCACGTGTTGAATGTCAACGCCGTTGTTTCGTCAAGTTTTTTACTACCAGATGGTGGTGTGGGGCTAACCTTTATCGACCGCACAGTCGCCGTGCTGCGTCAAGCCACGGTAGAAGGTCCTCCCACCCTTACGGCGATGGCGAATGCTGACTGTGGAGCCTTTCAGGCGGACATCTGTCTCCCTGTGACGCTTTTTAATGGGTGTGGTGTCAGCCCTCACTTCCAACTTGTGGCGGTTCAGGGCCTAAAGGTGGACTTGGTGGCGTTACGGTCTGCTGCAGTGGTTGATGAGCAGCTGGGCATCGCGTTATCCCCTGCACCTTCACATAGTTGGGATGGCATCCAGTCCAATAGTAACAAAAAGAAAGAAGAGGGGCTCGCTCATGCTCCGGATGCTCTGCCGATGCCACTTCGTTGTGGTTTTGTTTTGTACTTTACCACCGCAGCCTATTACGTGCTGGTGATGTCGGATGGGATGCACATTACAGTTTGGTCCATCCCAGAGTTACTTCCGCCCGAAGCAACGCAGGCGACTCCGTGTCGTCGAAGTGGTTCTCTGCAACGAGGCCCCGTGAAGTACCAAGAGACCCATGCATTACAGCTGCCTTTTATCACGGCCTACGACCACAGACTGACCAAGGCCATTTACCTGCCTCTCTCCAACACTCTTGTGGCACTTACAGACAGAGGGGAGGACACCTCAATTGTTAGTGCCGTTGATGCAGAGACTTTTTGTGTGATTGATGGCCTTCCGATGGCATTGAAGGAGATTCCGATATGTCTCGAGTCACTCTCTGTTTCTGTGGATGATGCTGCTGTTGTTGGCACAGCGGTACAATCGGCTGGATCTGCGACTGATCCCACGTCGGGGCGCCTTTTGGTTGTACATGTGAAGCCGCTTCGCATATCTTCAGTGGCCTGCATTACCACCGGTGGGGTGCTTGACATTTCTGTGCAGGGATGCGGTGACAATCACCTCATTGCGGTGGCCAGCATGGATCGTGTGCTAGTGTATCGTCTTGCTGGGTTTACTCTTTCTCTTCTTTGCCATTCTGAAACGAGGTCAGCATGCACGACCGTGGCACTACGCTACCCGTTTCTTTCCTCTGGGTTGTATGCGTGGGGGGCCCAATACATGAAGCTGTTACCCGAGGGCAGGACTGAAGAGGATCTCAATGCATGGAAAACTGTTTCTATTGGTCAGGAAGAGGATAGTCGCGGCAATAACCAGAGTAGTGGCAGCAATGCAGACGAGAGTCGATTGAGTGGTCTTCAGCAAGCTGATTTGTCTTACTGGGTGCGTTGGCATGGGGTCGGGTTGACGCTAAAGACCTGTGCACTGGAACCGACTGCGTTTGCTGGTGTTCATTCACAAGCTGTTTACGGTGATGAGGTGGCTCGTGTTGACGGTGAGCGGAATCTCATTACCGTTGCCTTTTTGGATTCACCGGAGGCTAAGCTGGGAGAGGGGCCTGACACACGCGTCGTTGGCCTTGAAGGTGGCTACAGCAGTATGCTGACACGCTGTCTGCGTCTGCCGTCGCGTCCATTGCGAGTTCAGTTCAGCGCGCAGGGGTTGTCGCCTTGGCGATTTCGCAACACTCCATTCATGGCTTGGTCTGAGCACCGCACTGCGATGCGGCTTGTCGGTCCAATGTTGCTGATGCCGTGCGCTGATGGTAGTCTGCATTGTGCGGGTGAAATTCCCAGCGCCTTTGCAAGTCCGCTGCTGCGATTGGAGCAGCGCATTACGGAGCTGTACGACACCACACTGAGCTTCTCTAGACACGGCGGCGATGGTGGCTGTGGCGGTGGGTTGCATCGAACGTACCACTCGGTCAGCTTTGAGGCGGAGGTAGCGGTGCAGAGTTTGACACGTGTGCTGCATAAGCAGTCTTTCTTGTGTGTGGATGCCATTGAGGAGTTCTTTTTGTTGACGCGTCTCACCGAGATGCCGGACCCGATGCTGACAGCGGAGGGGCGCGAATGGGTCACGCGCAAGAAGCAACTGATGGATGCACATCTCAAACCCGTCTGGGAGGAGTACGCAGGGGAGCTGCAGGATGTAGACGTGTGTGACATGCTGCACCTCTGGTAACTCTTGCCCTAGGCCGCAGAATAAAAAGCGGCGATAAACAGCCGGGACAACGCTGCGCCCCGTCGTCGTCATGCACCTCTTTTCCGTGTTTTTTTGTTTTTTTTTCAGCACCTACAATAAACACTTATTCGCATATGTGTTATTGCCCGCGTGCATATATCTGAGTGGGGAGCATGCACTGCATGCTTCTTCTGCCTTGTTAGTTGTTCTCAGATTAGGCTGCCCGTTCCGTTTTATTCTCTGTTTTTTTTCTCTCTCCTTTTCGCTCTCATCATCCTCCCTTCTCGTTGGCTGCGTTGACGTCTTCAGATTCCAAGAGCAACAAGAATTGGGCGTGAGAAAGTGAAAAAAACGAAGCCGATAGGCGGTTAAACGTGCTCCCACACTTTACCATCTTTTTTTCAGTCACTCGTCGTGACAGTGAGCGAGGACAGCGCAACCCTAGGCAAGGAAAGGAAAGGAAGAGGCGCAGCATTGGTACATCCACTTTCCCGTATCTCTAAAGTTTGTACAGGCACACACACACACACACACACAGGCTGAAAGCCGTGGGAAGGAAGAGGCAAGTGAAGTAAAAGGTGTCCATTGTCGAAGGTGTGACCTTGGTTTCTTTTTTCTTTCTTTTTTGCTTTTGTTTTTTCAGTTCGACATAGCGCCTTTTTACGCATTCATCTTTTTTTGTTTTTGTGCCACCGCTCATTGCCACCCTTGCAGCAGCGGCGCTTCACACGAGAGAAAGATATATTTGTCAATTTTGTTTTGTTTTGCTTTTATTATTGTTACCGTCGTTGCGTGAGTGTGTGGCTCGAGGTGCCTGCGTTTGCTTGCGTGACCGACTGACTGCCGCCTTGGTTACCCCGGCCTCCTACTGACTGGCCGTACAAAAGAACGCGGGTGGAGACGTGTCCAACATCAGGTGCACCGAGAACTCAGTGAAAACGAAGAAGGTGAGGGCTGCGCAGCACACACACACACACACACACACACACACACACCGCCAGCCCACATCGTAACTCTGCAAAGTAATCACCAGCTGGGAAGGCGTAGCCACCCACACGTGTGCGAGGACAAGAACGACCGCCGGCAAAGACGCAGGGGAGGAGAACGCGGCAAGACAAGTGCTGGGCGTGCGGTAGCTACAACAAAAAGAAGAATAACGAGGGCAAGTGTAGCGGGAGTCGCGTGAACGAAAACGACACAGTGAGAGTAGCGGCGGAGGAATCACATAGGCGGGGGTTGGGTGAAGATAAAACAAGGTGAAAAGCAGAAGGAGTAAAGCAGCACACTCATACGTGACAAGAAAAGAAGTAGAAAAAGAAAACAAACGAGCAAACTACATTTGCAAGGACGTTTCAGGTGTGACTCCGAATTTGTGCTAAATGGATCCAGAGAAGATTTTTTCGAAACTGCTGGAAGTGAGGCTGAGTAAGGGAGCACGTGCGGAGAGCACCATCCAGCGCCCTGGGAGCATTCTCTCGAATTTAGAAGCTTCTCTGAAGGGCGCCACTGATGTCCATGCACGTTTTGGAGCGGTGCCACAACAAGAGACCAAAGTAAAGGTAGGCAACGATAGGAGCGGTAACAACAACACCTCTCCACCAGTGACGCTTGTGGTTGGTGCCACTCACACCTGCCCTTCCACCAACGAGACGAAATTCAGTAAGACCAACCAGGATACTGGTGGTCAGTTTGGTGCCAAACCGATGCGCACCATGCGTTCCAACCCACGATTTTCGCAGCATAAGCAGCAACAACTACCGGTGGTACATCATGAAAATAAGGTGAGTGTTGTGGAGCCTTCATCCGACAATAGGGTTGAACGGTTTCTTCAGACAGTTACCAAATCCACCGTTGCAGCTGCGCAAGATGCGATTTCAGCGCCACCCCCAGTGGCAGTGGCTTTGACTAACGTTGAGCCCAATGCTGTGCGGATGGCAACATTGGTAGCTGGGACTGCGGCGAACCCAACGATGCTTGAACCTATAGACAATTTCAATGCGCAAAAACCAATCATTCGTACAGCACCCCCATGTGATCACCGGTACATTATTGTGGGTGATGTGCATGGATGCCCGGAGGCGCTCGAGAACTTGATGCTAAAGGTCAACTACCGGAAAGGGAAGGACTGCCTAATTTTAGCGGGGGATTTGGTCAATAAAGGACCCAACTCTATAGGGGCAGTACGACTAGCCCAGTCACTGGGTGCAATTGGTGTGCTGGGAAATCATGACAGTACGCTTCTTATTTGTATTGCCAGATCGCGGAAGCCAAAACTTACTGAACAGGAAGAACTTGATCCCGTGATGCAGCTGGCGCTCTGCTTTCCCAAAGAGTGTCAGGACTACTTGCGTTCTCTTCCACACATCCTGCGTATTCCAAAGTACAATGTTGTTGTGGTACACGCAGGATTCAATCTAAATAACCCCATTGAAAATCAAGATGTGTTTGAAATTATGCATATGAGAAGATTAGAAAAGTTGAGTGGTGATGATGATAAAGAGGCTTGCACCAATACCAAAGCAAGGTGGAGGGCAGTGGTAAAAGGAACCCGCGGTAGACCTTGGGCAGAGCTTTGGGAGGGGCCTGAATGCGTTGTTTTTGGTCACGATGCGCGCTCTGGGCTTCAGACACATCCTTTTGCATATGGCCTTGACACTGGCTGTGTCTATGGCCACACACTCACATGTGTGGTGTACGGTCCTGAAAGTCCCAAGGGTGCTTTGTTTTCGGTGCCGGGTCTACCAAAGTTCACCAACGAAAAGCGTGGTCTTCCGTCCCCAGCAGCTCCTGTGTACGAGCAGTGCATGGAGGAGCTGGAGAAGCAGATTCTACGGCCAACCTCACGCCCCGCATCCTCTAAGCGTTTCAGTGGCTATAAGCCGACATTCCTTTCTGCCCCCCCTAATTATTCACTTCGCACAGCAAGCACCGCAGTGACTGCCGCTTCTGGAGCGTGCAGTGAAGCGACGCCGAGTCCCAAGATATGCGCGGTGGAGGCGGCTACACTTTTGTCGTTGTCCCAAGCCGGGGAGCTGAGTGCTGTTAATACACTCATGCGTCTACCCGTGTACGAAGCGGCATGGAGACTCATGCTACGTAACGGGATGGAGGATTGCACCCATACCTTTTGGATTCCCTTTGTTGGTGGAATTTTGGAAAAACTGTTAAACAAGTCGACAGAGACTTCTATGGATTGTATAGATGGCGTGCTACAACTAGCTTTGGAGGCATGTGATGAGCTGGAAGCTGTGCAAAAAGTGCTTGCTCCCCAACTACGTTCATTACTGGCACGTGAGGACTCTGGGGTCCTATTTGTCTCAAAGAACACTATGAAGTTGTTGAGATTCCTTGCAATAGGCCAGTGGTAAAACGAGGTGTTTTTGAGGGGAGGCGTGTGTGTAGAGGGATTTACGGGAAAGGAAGGGCAGTGTGTGTGTCTGTGAGAGAGTGAGTGAGTGCTTGCGCATACATTCCTGCTGCCTCACGTCTTCTCCCTTTGTAAGCGGGCGAAATTTGGAAAGAGGAACGGAGGGAGGGAGGGGTATGGGAAGGGAAAGGGTAAAGCGATGAGGGAAGTGGCGCATATTGTGTGGAGACAAGGCTAAGATATAATTTTCATTAGACGAAACACTTTTCTCCCCCTAAGACGAAAAAAAAGGAAGAAAAATAATTTAAAAAAAATCAAAGGTGAAACGAGGAAAGAAAGGGGCGTTAATTGATTCCCCTGCTGTATATCTGTGCTTGTAATGTATTATTACATCGTCTACACGTAGCATCCCTCTGTATGTGTGTGCAAACCCAACGATACGAAGGAATGTGTGGGGCAGGGAGAGGGAGAGAAAGTGAGGGTGTGCGGGGAAATGAAGGAGGAAAAAAGAAAACAGTCATATACTTATATATATATATATATTCTGTGCATCTGTGTCTGGGGAGGAACAGGGGAGGCATACCAGCAGGCATACTTTGGGTGTCGCCGCTGGTGTTGGTGACTTGCTTGCAGGTGGCCATTTCTGTCATTCATCTCTGCAGGTATTTTTCGCCTCTTTCTCCCTCACTACTCCTTCATTTTTGTTTTGTCCCATTTGATGTTCATATTGTTATTCGACTTTGTTTGGTTAAACCTTTTTGTTTTTGTTTTGTTATTATTGTTTGTTGTTGAAGCTCTTGTGGGTTGTGCGCTTCCTCACCACCTCCCTTCCCTCCCTGTGTGTCTTGTGGTTGTTTACTTTTGGTGTCAAACACGAATGACATCTTTGGCGCCGTTTCACTGAAAAGTCCTTTTGGCCGCAGCGGAGGCTTATTTTCGCAATGACGCATCGGCACGTGGAGCGACAACCACGGCGGGACACCGCAAGGGGATGGTCTCACATAGGCACGCCTCGCGCCGCTCATGCCCTACCCCTGCCTCTTTTAGTCTCTCTGCCTGAAAGGCAAGGGATAAAAAGCAATATATATATATATATATATAAGATACTAAAATGAAGGAAAAAAATTGGTGTCTTCTATTTTTACCGTTTTTGTTCTCACAAACAACCTTGGCTGAGGCAGCCATGTGGTGCTCGGCAAGTATGGCTTCAGGATTATGGCAATGCCGGCATGAAAAGAAGAGGGTGCCGGGTGGCAAGTTCTATTATTATTATTTGTTTCTTTGTTTGTGTGTGTGTGTTTTTTTTTGTGTTTATGTCTGGATTGTGTGGGAGCAAACAATTGGGGCGCGTATTAACAGAGGGGCGCAACGAGGGAGAGTGGAAGGCTACGAAACGGCAGCGGATGTCAGGAGGAAGATAAGTAAAGGAGATGGTATGAAGAGACGTGTGAGATGAATGATGTGTTTAATTTATGTGGCACCATTTATTGGTGTGGGTCCGTTCTTTTTGGATTTTCCTACTTCTCTCCGCTGCAGTGCGTTGCCATGCATATTGCGCATGGCAGAGATGGATACATCAAACGATAATGAGGGGGTGACAGCACGTGTAGGGGATGCCGTGGTGAGGGTGGCAGCGGCAAAGGAAATGCGGGCACCGACAGATGTATGAATAGAGAAGATACATTCTAAGAAGGAGTGATGGAGAAAAAGAGCAAGATGTGTGTGGGTGGGGGGAAGTGAAGGACGAAATTTGGGCAAAGTGATGTGGATATATGTCTTTCTGTGTTGGAGCAGAGGAATGGAGGCGTCACTGTTTTATTCCCGTGGAGTTTCCACAACACATCGTCATAAATTGCACATGTACGCTACTTGTGCTGGCTGTATGCTCCATGGCTACCACAACCACATACATGTTCATATCCGCTTTTGGTACCGTACAGCTGTATGTGGGGGTCTTTCTCTTATACATTTCAGCTTGTGCTCTTTTTTTTTTTGTGTGTGGGATACATTTTGCTTTATGGTGCTGCCTTTAGCGTCATATATTTTATCAGTTGCCGCATATAAGGACCTCCATCTGTCTCTTTGCCTTTCTGTGGGAGCTGTCGATGCAGTGCGGTGCTACTGCCACGTGCTTCCAAACAAATAAGCAAAGGAGCAAAAAGCAAGCAGAAAAAAAAAAGCGAAAACGAAGGTGTGTGTGTGGTGGGGGGG